AAAAAAAAAAAAAAAAAAAAAAAAAAAAAAAAAAAAAATCACGAGGGTTCGTAAAGAAAACATATCAATGGAGTACTCGATACCGATCTAGCCCAAAACTCCATAGCCCTAGCTCCTGTGCGCCTCTGCCGCATCTGCTCCATCACACTTCATATGAAAAAAAGTCAAAGTAGCATAAATGAGTTTATAAAATATACTCAATAAGTAGCTTGCTAGCAATTCATAATTCGTTATCAAATTTTATTTATGATAGTTAACGTGCTCGGTGCCTTATTCTCTATTGGGAATTCATTCCCCAACATAGACGACTCCTAGACTACCTCTAGGTTCACTCATTCTATTTTTTGCTTCTTGGTTCTAATTGGTCCTCCAGCCCTCAAAATATTCTCTAGTTCTCTACCTCCAGAATAGTCATTTCTGCTAGTCTCTCATCATCATAAAAAATCTAAGTCCTCGAGGCACGACTTCACTGCTCAAGGTTCATGCATTATAGGAATCGACCAACTCTAAAGTATACTACTGTAGAACCCCGCCACTCGTGATAGGTTCACTTATAGCAAACTAACTAGAAAACTTCCTATAAGTCCCCACAAAGTACTATCTGTAATAAAATAGGTCAGTTCGGACCCTTGACAGTCGAGCCAGGTTTACGATTAGGGGTTAATTGGCAAACCTCTAATCATCCCCGTATAATCGCTAACTCAAATGCATGAAGAATAAATCAATTGTCACAAGATCGACTAACTCTAATGTACCACTGTGGACCCCTACACTCGTGATAGGTTCACTAATGGAAAATTATCTGGAAAACTTCCTAGAAGTCCTCACGAAGTACCATCATCAATAAAATTGTCAGTTCTATAGTTATTCACACCCTTGGCAATCGAGTCAGGTTTACGAGGGGTTAGTAGGCGAATCCTTAATCCTTCCCGTATAACTGCTAATACCATAACATATGTAACACAAATATTACATAATGATTGAAACATGGAAACCAAGTCATAAATTTCAATAATAGGACCGTGCATACGCATTTCAGTATACTTACATAATCATATTAAACATGTGTCATCTCACCCCAATATCAAATTAACTCATTTCATGCTCAAATTTCTGCATCTACCGCCCTTTCTTTCCTCCCGGCTATTCACACATGAGGATCGTCGTATGTATGCTTGACTTCGGTTGCCGGTGCTATAGGTAGGAGTACATTATGGCAGGATCAGTCACCGGGGCAAACCAACCCTCCTCTAAGAAGAATTGTGCTATGCCCCCCGATCCCTATAGATGGAAGGAGCTGCCTAGTGATCCCTGGGTTGTAGCACGTCTGGTCGTTAACTCCTCGCACTGCTGCCACCATTTCTTGGACCGACCGATGCCTCACCTGCACAAGTACCTACGTAGTGTAGTGTCGGTGGCACATTCAACATAACGTTCGGACTCATGTGCCTTCCAGAACCAGGGGTCTTCGAGCCTGCTGCGTACGATTAGCCAGCCTTGCAGCGGCAAACTCCTCATATCATACTTTAATGGATACTCCGAGTATAGTTAATTCTAAGGTTTCGAGGTGCCACTTACTTGGGAGGTGTGACACTATTTGTTCGAGTTTGCATCTCTAGGGGATTTCAAAATTTGCCAAACTCCACTAATAATTCCTAAATCTGAACAAATGAGAAATAATGAGAAAACTGTGACAAAATCGGGGTTAAAATTGGAGAATTATACTGGAAGGAAAATTGGCCCAATCGGTTGAACTGGGCCAAATCATCGCAAGCAGGACTGCTATTGAGGTTGGGCGCTTGTGCTGGGTCGCCTGGGACACGCGTCTGGGTTAGGCCGTTAGGGACACGTAGCCTCTCCCTTTCCCCCATTTTTTCTCTCCCTCACCTTTACACTTGTCGACTTCTTTCACCTTCTATTTTCCCTCTCGATTTTGTTCAACGGCCACTGCCCCTCAAATCAAGTAGATCTGTTTAAGGTTAAAATCGTAGGTGGTTATCTTCTACATGTTCGAGGGTCTCTAGAAAAGAAAAACTTATGAAACTCTTACTCAAGACGATGCCTCGATCCTCGGCCTCTCTTTGTGTAAAGCTTAAAAAAAAACGATCAAAGTCAGAGGGGCAAAAGGGGCATTTTGTCCCTCAACCCATTATAGGGTCTTGAGGATATTCCACAGAGCACCTGCAAAATAGAAAAGAGAAAGAAAGAAACTTGAGAGAAAAAATTTTGAGGGGAAAAGTAATTGGCCGGACTTCTCAAGGAAAAACCATCATCAAAGTTCAATCTCGACCAAGACTTAGACGCAGGAACTTCTTCTTAAAGAGGACTCGTGTAGTCGAAGTTCCATCTTCCGTCAACATCCGAGAGGAATCTGCAAGGTAAGATCTGGAATGTTCATCTTCAAATCTAAGACCTTCCTTTGTGAATAGAGTGCTTAAATTTGATATTTGCATTTAGGAAAGATCCGCCGCTAATTTCATGAAGAAAATCAACTGGAAACATTGAGATTTGAGAATTCTTCCAAGAATGGTAAGAGTGTTAACAGATCTCCTTCCGACGCTCATAACTCATCATATAGTTAAGCATAAATCAAGAAAAAAAATACTAGCACACAGTTTGTAGTACGATCTAAAACTTTGATGAAGAAATCATTTCGGTTTAGATTAAGAATTGGGATATAAAAAAATGAGAAGGACGTCAGAAAACTAATCGAAAATCTCATTTTTCTGTTAGGAGGAGAGAGAAGGCGACGACGTGCCACGTGTCAACCGACGAGAGGTTTTTCGTGCGTCGATAGCCACCAGATACGCATCGAATGCCGCCTGGAGGGACGTAGTTCCATTCTTCTAGCAACACGCTTCCACTGCAGCTCCAACCCGATCCGCGTTCCTTAGCCGAATCAATAACCGCGTGACAAATCAAACCATAACGACCCACGGTCTAGCCAAACCACCTTGCCCGAACCAAACCAATGATCCGCAACTATAGAAAAGCGTGCGCGTGCGTGGAACCTACGAGTGAGCTCATCTTGGCGCGTGGCTATGACAATTTTCAACCCGATCGACTTCATTTTGCCTAATTTTCAACCCGATTCCTATTCTAACCAAATTTTTATGTGATTTAGGACCTAGTTGGAAAAAATCAATATTTTTGGACACTTTACATGCTTAGGAACGCTAACGTAAGGGCACGCGTTAACCAGGTAAGTCGCCACACGATATTTAGGAAGTGATACTTGTAGGAATCGCTTGGTTTGCATGCATGCTAGTCTATTTTCCTTAGATGTAGCTCTCCATGGATCGAATGTAGGTATTTTGATTGTTAAGAGTATAGATGTATTATGTTGAATTATTTGAGTGTTCAATTATGTTTTTAAGCTATCACAGTATGTCTTCTACAATTCATCAATGGTCATGGTGTCCAAATCGTTGGATTCTTCAATGGAGCAAGCCATGTAATCAAACTTTGAAGTCATGGAGCGCAGGATTTTCTCAATAATGCTAACATCACTCATCTTTTCACCATAGAAATGCATTTTATTAACAATGGTGAGAGTACGAGAAAAGAAATAAAAAACGATCTCACCTTCCTTCATATGAAGGGTCTCAAAGTCCTTGCGCAGAGCCTGTAGTTTCATCTTTGTATTTCCTTGGAATTTTTTCTTCATTGAATCTAAAATTGAGTGATCGATGGCATGGAAAAGGTAGTTCTTAGCTCTTAAGTCTTTCAATTTTTGATCTGCCACTTCTTTCTTTTGTTCATCTGAGTAATCAGTATCATCTACTACAGCAGAAATCCCAGACTCAACTACTTGCCAATATTCTTTAGAGCGAAGAAAGTTCTCCATTAACATGCTCCAATGATAGTAGTGACCAACAATTTTGTGTATGGCTGGTTGAACAAACTATCTTAAGTAGTCATCTTTAGCTGCGGCTGAGAGAGAAAAGGCTCTGATACCAAATGATAAATTTAATAAAGATAAGTTTGCAGAAGGCAAGAAATTCAGTCCTTCATTATGTGAAAAATGACTATATTTATAACTTGTACAATGGTAAGCGAAAGCAGAATATCATGCCAAAAAAAAGAATTTGGCATAAGATCATATGTACGATAAGATATCGGCATAAGATCATATCTATGATCCGATATCAGCATAAGATCATATCAGTGATCTGATATTCAGGAACTAAAACATAAAAATAGCAACTAAATCTTTTTCAACATTCATTCCCTCCCTTAAACTGATAATGCAAAACTAAATCTTTTTCAACAAGTTGATGTTGTGTAGTGAATATATCATGACTTTTTGTTGTGTTATAATTGCACATTTACTGGAGGATGCACTTTAAGTGAATTGTAACCGCAATTTTTCCTTTTGTGGTAGCTAATGGCACCAAAGAGAGTCGTGGACCCTATCTTGGGCCTGGACCAGAAGGGAAGAAGAAGAGTCACTCAGGACATTGCTGTTCCATCACTTGAGGTGGAACAACCTGAACCTGAACCTCAAGAGGAGGTTGGTGAAATGCCCCAATGGAACGAGAGTATTATACCATAGGCACCAAGATCAGGAATGAGTCGAAGGAGAGTGATGACCCAAGGCTTACCTGACGCAGACTCTATTGCTCCTTTTCCTGAGGCAGTTCCACTAGTGTCTGCTAATAATATAGAGGTCCCACCTAGCCAGCCAACAACTAATCTCACTACGGATGTGCTACAGGCATTTATGTTAACCTCTATGGAAAATCAAACTCAGATGACTGAGATGATGCAGACACTCGTGGCTAACCAGACGACAATGCAACAAATAACAATAAAACAGACAACAATGCAAGGGATTAGAGACTAAAGGACTATGATTGTGGAGTCCTGTTATCTGAAAGACTTCCAGAGGCATAACCCGCCTTCCTTTAAAGGTGGTAAAATAGATTCTGTCGCAGTGAAATCCTGGCTTGAGGCTACGGAAACAACCTTCTTTTACATGAACTGTCCGCTGGAATATCTGGTCCATGCCGGAACTTATATGTTAACAGAAGAGGCGCATTTCTGGTGGAAGAGCGCTCAAAGAATTATTGCACCACATGGAGAGTCCATCACTTGGTTTCAGTTTAAAGAAGCCTACCTCTGCAAATACTATCCAGTCACTACCAGAATGAAATTGAAGGCAGCATTCCTTGAACTCAAGCAGGGTGAAAAATCAATGGAGGATTATGATTTGGAATTCAATAGATTGGCAAGATTCTCTCCGATATTTTTCAACGTTGAAGAGTTGAAGGCCGAACGTTTTATCGTTGTCCTAAGGGAGGATCTTAAAGGGCACATCCACAGATTATGCAGAAGCCCTCAAAGTGGCAACCCTCATTGATATGCATCGTATTGACAAATTATGTTGACTCTGGCAATTCGGAAGACAGCGTCGACGAAAAAATTTGCCGAAGGTTTCTTCGAAGGAAAAATTAGCGGAAGTAAAAGGAGAGAGAGTGAGAGATTCGCTGAGATTGCTGAAGACTCGATATATTATTTTACTTCGGTTGAACGGTTTAAATAACAAATCTAATTATAAGAATAGAAAAACCAATTATACAAAAATAGAAGAAGTGGACGAAGACTTCGCCCAAATTGCCAAAACCAATGGCCCCTAGAATCAGGCTCCTCCATTCGCGTGAATTCAGATGTTTTTACAAACCTAACTAAATAAGGCATGGCTTTTATTTAACAAATTACAATCAGGATCAGCCCAAACATCCTACATCGCAGTTCAGGGAAAAAAGACAGACCGGAACCATCCTAGGACTAGTAGACCACCCCGTCGTGGCACTGCCAATCACGGAAGAGCCCTAGCACAGAACAGGACTAATTGTCGTCAGTGTCAGCGCCCTCACAAGGGGGAGTGTCAAGTAAGAACTAATGCATGTTACAATTGTGGCCAAACAGGGCACTTTGTAACAAACTGTCCTCAAATGAGAGATTAGAACACTAACTGACCAGCAATACAAAATCAAAGGGGCCGGGGTGCCCCACATCAAGACAAGCCGACGCGCCTGACGCAGTTGTTACAGGTACACTACCCGTCTTTGGTCATTTGGCTTTAGTATTATTTGATTCAGATTCTACACACTCGTTTGTGTGAGGAATTCGTTGAGTTAGCGCACTTAGAAAAAGAACCATTAGAGACCATCCTATCAGTGTCCACCCCTGCTCACGAGCAATTGATGGCTACTCATAAGGTTACGAGAGGTAGTGTAACTGTGTCGGGGCGTGACATAGAAGCCGCATTAATAGTGTTAAGTATGCAAGACTTTGATGTCATTTTGGGTATGAATTAGCTGGGCGAGAATCGCGTTCTAATAGATTGTGAAACTCGAATAGTGACATTCAGACTCCCATCAGGGGATAGTTTTATATATAAGGGAACCACTTCAAAAAGAACCCCAAGCGTCATAACAGCACTGAAGGCCAGGAAGATGATTCGCAGTAGTGAAAGCACATTTTTTGCCAGTGTGACCCTAGACAGTAATAATGAGCAAATAGTCTCATTAGTACACATCGTCAGGGAGTTTGTTGTTAGTTTATTTAATCTTGTATTAACTGTAATTCATTTGTATTTACTTTTTGTATTTCAAATTATGTCAGTTAAGGGAAGTTTAGCAGTTAAGGGAAGTTATTAGCGGTTAAGGGAAGTTATTAGCGGTTAAGGGAAGTTATTAGCAGTTATTAATGTGTGGCTATTCTGTCTATATAAGTACTGTGTAACAAGTTGAATAATATGAGTAAGTTGGTTTTGTTTATTTTAAAATTATTGCCTCTCTTAGTTGTATGAGTGTTTCTGACATTCGTTGATGTTTTCCCAAAGAATTTGCCAAGTTTGCCCTCAGTTAGGGAAATTGACTTTAGGATCGACCTAGAACCATGGTCTGCATCGATCTCCAAGGCACCCTACAGAATGGCACCTTCAGAACTCAAGGAATTGAAGGAATAGTTACAAGAGCTGTTGGATAAGGGTTTCATACAACCCAGTGTATCACCCTAGGGAGCCTCTGTTCTGTTTTTCAAGAAGGATGGATCATTGTGTGTGTATAGACTATGGAGAGTTAAACAAGGTCACCAAAACGAATAAGTACTCCCTCCCGAGAATCGACTACTTGTTTGATCAAATACATGGAGCAATAGTTTTCTCTAAAATTGACTTAAGGTCAGTGTATCATCAATTGAGAATAAGAAAAGAGTATATACCCAAAACAGCCTTCAAAAGTCACTATGGACATTACTAGTTTCTCGTCATGTTCTTTGGTCGTACCAATGCACTAGTAATCTTCATGGAATTAATTTACAGGGTGTTTAAGAAATTCTTAGAAACTTTTGTTATAGTGTTTATTGATGACATTCTGGTGTACTCTGAGTCAGAGGTAGAGCATGAAGAGCATTTGAAGAAAGTTTTGACAGTATTGAGAGCCCAGCGGTTGTACGCCAAGTTTTCCAAGTGCGAGTTTTGGCTATCTGAGGTAGCGTTCTTGGTTCATGTGGTATTAAGCAGACGAATCACAGTGGACCCAGCTAAGATAGAGGCAGTGATGAAGTGGTCAAGGCTGACCATAGTCACTGAAGTACAGAGTTTTCTGGGACTAGTTGGATATTACAAAAGATTTGTCGAGGATTTCTCCAAAATATCTTCGGCGCTAACTTAGATAACCAAGAAGGGCAAGCCCTTTGTGTGAACATCATCTTGTTAACAGAGCTTCTAGGAACTCAAGGAGAGGTTGGAGACAGCACCAGTCCTCACAGTTCCAGATGGGTCGGGGAATCTAGTGGTGTACAGCAACGCATCACGAAAAGGTCTAGGGTGCGTGCTCATGCAAAAGGGTAAAGTGATAACATATGCTTCTAGAAAACTAAAGGAATATTAACGAAACTACCCCACTTATGACCTCGAGTTAGCGGTAGTGGTGTTCGCACTGAAAACATGGCGACATTATTTATCTGGGGAGATAGTCCAAGTATTCAATGACCATAAGAGCCTCAAGTACCTATTTACATCGAGATCCTATATCATCCAGGGAAAACTAATGTTGTAGTTGATGCATTAAGAAGAAAGGCTGCTCATACCTCCACGATGATCACCAAGCAGGAAAGAATACAGGATGAGATGAAGAGGGCAGGTATCGATGTTGTAATTAGAAGTGGTACTGCTCAGATAACATAAATGACCATGTAACCCACCTTACAAAAACAAGTTATTAATGCCCAGAAATCTGATGAACACCTTAGGAAAGTGTGGAGTCAGACAGTGACAGAAAGGCCAGCGAGGCAC